AACCAGCTAGAACTGTACATCCTTGGAGTCCAGCTTGATGTGGTGAACCTGAACCTGCAGTTTATCAAGGTCCCCAGGTGATGTCTATTCTATACACATTAAGGGTTGAGAAATGCTGTTGGGCCACACCAAAATAGTAACAATGCCAAACGGCCAAGAAGAAAATCCCGCAGCTGTAAAAACCACCTCAGTCTAAAGAAAGGATCCATATGCTAGCAGTACCAGGCTCCGTGGCTGGGCAGCCTGCAGGCGAAATATTCTGAGGCAGGTAAGGCTAATGGCTATTTTAGGAACTGCAGCGTTAGCATATTGAATCGTTATCATTTTCTTAGTCTTTCTAAAAATTTCTCCTTATTTTACTGGGAAAAGTTCACATGGCAATGCAAAGGTTAAAAAAAGAGTTAATATATAAGCATTTGGCAATTGAGGGAGGGAGGGACGGAGAGAGAGAGAGATAACTTTTTTTAAGCGCAGCAGAACTTTTGACCTCTTAGAATTCGTATAATACAGATATGGCTTTGCCTTTAACTTCTGAGGTTACAGCAGAAACCTAATTTTTCAACCTTTAATCATTACTTTGACCTTTTCTGAATTTCTTCACGTTCATCATTGTTGGAGTTTAGAACTGAGTATAGTTCACAGCTTTCTTGGGAAAAACTTTGCCCAAGAAAACTTTGAAAGAAATTTGGGTTCCTAATTACATCTTTTTCATGCTTTATTTTTTTTTATTGTACTTGTGTCTCAAATTGTTGTTAAAGAATTAGCTGTGCTTGGGAGTTTATATGTTTAACCACTTACCAGATGATTAGGAGTTTTTGGGGGGTAAAACATAGAAGTGAAAAATAATGTGTAAATCATGTTTTTTTTTATGTTACTGAAACTTGGTTGTCTGTCTTCAACTCCAGTTTACCTTATAGGTTTTATTTCTAAAGCTGTAGTAATAAATTCCTCCTTTTCTGCAATCTTAGCAGGATCAATTGTACTTATTGAGGTTAAAAAAGGTTTAAGTCTTCACCAGTTTCTTCCCTTACTTCCTTCAAGTTTTTCTGATTTATACCTATAGTTATTTGTAATTCTTTTCTTAAATATGCATAATTTTAATTTTTAAGACATTTCAATTTTTATTTTGTCTGTGGCAGCAATTTAATCAGCTTCTAATATGTTTTGGAAGAGTAAATCTTCCTAACATTTTTAGGGAAAACTTACAATACTTTAAAGTTTTCTTTCCAACAGGCCTGTTAGTGTTTTTCTCATGATGACTATGTTAGCATCTTCATGATAGAAAACAACTAATTTCAGGTAGCCCGCCTATTTTTTGTTGATTTCAAACATTTGATCACTAAATACTCCAGAATGAAAAAAAAAAAAGGCAGACTAATAAAGTTTTATCAGAACTATAAAGTAACCATGAATAAACACTGAATATAAAGGCAGTATTTCATGAAATTTTATTTATTTACATATATTTATTTTGGAAGTATTGCTTAGCTAAATCAGTAACAACTTTAGTTCCTTTCTCTTGGTGACATGGAAGCTCCTTTAAAATATAATAAGCATGCCACTTACCAAACAGTAGTTTCTTCAACTTGCTGAAATTTAAATAAGACAGCATGTGCTGGAAGAACAGAAATTCTATACTTCAGCTTATGAACTCCCTGCTTGTGTTTTCTTTACATGGATGTGCGTGTTTGTATGTTTGCTTGTTTGTTTGTTTTTACTTGACTTTATGGTCTTTAAAAAGATTGCTTGTAGACTTAGAAACCCATAATTTATCATTATGCAACTCGGCTAATGAATTTATTTTATGGACACATCATCACCTTGTATCACTTTGTCTGTTCCACACAAACCTTGCTTTTAGAATTTCTTGAAATTCACTGTCTGGAAAAGGCTATGCTAGAAAGAATGATGATCTTACCAATAATTAGAAAGAAGCAAGAATTTGAAAGGAAATATGAGGAGTTCCATCTTCATCATGGTCAGATAAGAAAGCTGATGGAACATCCGAGAGGCAATATGAGACAGCTCAAGACACAATATTGAGTGCTGGGCAAAGACTAAATGAAGAGAAAAGAGAAGGGCTAGGATTCATTCACACCAGCCCTCGCAGGGACAAACCTACTATTGCCTTTCTAGAACATAAGACTCTCAGCAACTCTTTTGAAGCCGGTGCTTTCTGTTTTATAAATTCACTTTATGATCATTTGGGAAGAATTCTTTCTCTTTCATCAAAAATACCCAATTTTTAAAAAATATATACACTTTGCAATGTTACGTTGTAGACAGATAGCTTAGGAATAACATTAACACTTTTCAATCAAGATGTGTAATCTAAATTTGTACATAGAATATATGTGAATTTATAGGCTCAACAATGTGATTCCGCTTTCTTTGTTAATTGTTTACATATATTCATCTAAAACATGCTAGAAGCATATTGACCAAAATATCGACAGTGATTATCTCAATGTAGTGAGATTATGAATGCCTTTTTTATTTTCCTCTTTTACTTTTCTTTACTCCAAAAAATATTTAATAAAGAAAAATTCAATAGAAGACATTTGGAAAAAGAAATAAAAGCAATTCAGAATAAATGCTTCTCATGATTTTATGTTTTTGATGAGGGGCTGCCCATTAAATTTTTGGCCAAAAGAAGTAAAACTATATGACATTTTAATAGCCTGAAGAAGGATATCATGCTGACTTCACTAATAGTAGCTAGCTATTCCTCTGGAGTAACTCTGGAAAATAAATTTGAGCAGAAAGAGTAGACTGTGCTGTTTGTAGATGTCCCGCTAACGTGTCTGGTACTGGAAATAATGTAAGAGTTGAGACTGAGATGATCAGCAAGGGCGCCCAGAGTGAATGATGCCGGTTTACAGATTGAGACCGACATTATGCCATGGAATCAGGAACCCTTCTTGTGTGACTGCCTCCTCCTACCTCTCACCCCGTATTGTTCTGTAATTACTGAGTTAGCTGTCTTCACCTGTAGACTGTAAATTCATCAAACAGGAATTTGGGTTTGTTTACTGTACCTGGCATATAGTAGGGCCTCGATATATTCTGGCTAAATGAGAGATGGATGAGTGATGAAAAACCAAGCCCAGGACAAGGAAGGTAATTTAGAAAAGAAAATAAATGGAAAAACATTAGACAGTATGGATGGCTCAACGGAAATTATAAACAGGCAGAATAAATAGTTCTTAAGGGCAAGATTTTTGGATAGAGATAAACCTGATATGATTCTACTCCCATGAGAGAGGAGAACAAATCTAACAGGCTGAGATGACTAAGAATTGCAGCACTAAGTAGTGGCATGAGAAAAGTCTCTAAGCTTTATTATAAAACAAATTAAACTCAGAATGTAACAAGTCTTATTCTTGAGAATAATGCTTTAAATACAGCTGAGATGATCACAAAATATGCAGTTTAAAAAAAAATTAGGAACAAAACTGGAACCTTTAAAAATGTATGCTTCTCTGATTTTGCCCTCCCTAAATTAGTTTAGAAATAAGGTTAGAGAGAAGTCAGATTTTATGATACTCTATGTTGACTTTAATAATGTCAAAAGGATTGTAGGGGAAAAAATATTGGTTATCCTTGATTAAGGAATCTAGCTTTGGGAGCAAAGTGATGAAAAACTGCTTTATTTTTCCCATTAAGTTTTCAGTTTTAGTTCTAGAAAAACACTTAGACAGAAAAGACTGAGTGACTTTTGTTTCCATTGTCAGAACACAAAGACTTAAATGACAGAGTAAACTGAGGTAGCTTTGACTGCTGTGCTCTAATTCACATGCACCTCCGATGATGATGTGTTCGGGGAAGTAACTTATCTGGAAAGCAGATGTAGAGCTTTTTTCCTAGGGAGGCAAAATGACACGCATTTAGAGTATAGGCAGTGCCATCTCACACACCAGCGTTCAAATCCTTGCTTAGCAGAAGACCTGGACAAGTTTCTTCAACTTCTCTGAAGGCTGTTTCTTCCTCATGTAATTGTTGGGATGGTTAAATGAAGTAGTTCCCAAAAAGGGCTTCACACAGTGCCTGATACACAGCAAGTACAAAGAACAATAACCCATTTTGTTTTTGCTATTTTTAGAATTTATCTGCAAAGATACTGGTCATGCAGATCTGCATCAACTGTTAGTCCTAGGGCTTGACCACTTATTACAGTCAGAGGAGTCAGGGAGAAAAAGGAGAGGGCCACAGTTAGTAGGTTGTAGTCTTCTATAAATTCTTACTGCAAGGAGAAGGCAAGACCAAGAGCAGAGGAAGAAGCACTGAATATAGTCAATGAGAAGCTTTTTAAGTAGAGTGAGGGACCACTGAGGCTATAATAAATGAATCTAAGACCTAGAGGAGAAGAGATTCTGGAATCTTATTCATCATTTACCTCTCCCCACTTTTCTCTTGGGTGTCTTACAGCAGTGAAACTGGGGAAGTGACAAAGAAGGAACTGTTGATGGCAGAGAAACAGAACTGGGAAATGTGGTGTGCCTGTTAAATGATTTCCAAGAGAACTTGCCTTAAGAGCACTGCCCCAGTGGAAAAGGTGTGAAGCAGATTCTTGTAGTTTTGTGCAGACCCCTCTCTCTTGGTTTCTGCTCTTTCCTCTCAGAGCTGAGACCTATTAACTAATGATAGTAGCCGAATATGAATGAGTATTCCACAATTAAATGACCTTCTTTAATTAAAAAATAATGTGTTGATAGGAGGCAGTTGTTAAAACTTGAATTGCTAGATACTCAAAACTACCTATTAGAACCACAAACAGGACGCAGAACCTTAAATACTAAAAATTAGGGGACTATCATTTACATTTCCTCAACCAATATTGCATTGAATGTCTGTACTGTTATAATACTAGGAGTGGAGGATACCAGCAAAGTAAAGGTGATTTTATCTTAAAGTGCTAAAACATATGGTATAGGCAATTACAAAATAGGATAGTATGCAGTAAAATGCTAACTGTATCTTTTAGGTGAAAAGAGGAAATGAAAGGTGAGTGAGATGCATACAGGCTACTTTCTTCATGACTGTCTACGCTGAAGGAGAGAGAATTGGAGTTGGGCTTTAAACACTAACATAGATGAATAAAGATAGACAGAAAAATTATAGTGGAGTGGGATTTGTTAGCTAAACATTTTAATGCCAATCTGTTGCTTCTTTTTTAAACTTTTTGTTTTTTACTTACTCAGTTTTTATTAAGGTATAGTTGATTTATAATATTGTATTAATTTCAGATGTACAATATCTGAAACATATTGATTCACATTTTTTAAAGGTTATGTTCCACTTATAGTTACCATAAAATATTAGCTATATTCCCTGTGCTGTATAATACATCCTTTTGGCTTATTTGTTTTATACATAATAGTTTGTACCTCTTAATCCCTTACCCCTATTCAGTATCTTCTCCCTTCCTTCTCCCCAGTGGTAACTACTAACTTGTTCTCTGTATCTGTGAGTCTGTTCTGCTTTATTATACGTATTCTTTTGCTTTATTTTTGAGATTCTGAGTATAAATGATATCATATAGTATTTGTCTTTCTCTGACTTATCTCACTAAGCATAATACTTTCCCAGTCCATCCATGTTATTGAAGATGGTGAAATTTCATTCTTTTTTATGACTAAGTAGCTTTCTACTGTGTATTACACACATACATACACACCACATCTTCTTTATCCATTTATCTGTTGATGGACACTTAGGTTGCTTTCATATCTTGGCTGTTGTAAATAATGCTGCCATGAACATTGGGTTGCATATATATTTTCAAACTAATGTTTTTGCTTTCTTCAGAAATATACACAGTTCTATTTTTAGTTTTTTGAGGAACCTCTACTGTTTTCCATAGTAGCTACACCAATTTACATTCCCACCAACAATATACGAGGGTTCCTTTTTCTTCACATCCTTGCCAACATTTGTTATTTGTGATCTCTTTGATGATAGCTGTTTTGATAGGTGTGCGGTGGTATCTCATTGCAGTATTGATTTGCATTTCTCTGATGATTAATGATGCAGACACATGAAAAGATGCTCAATCTACTGTGTTTCTTATGCTGCAGACTCTGGAAGGCTAACAAAACACCATACCCCCAGACTTCTAAGCTAAGGTGGGAGGAAGGAATTAAAGCACCTGGTTTGCTATCCTTTCACTCCCTTCACTAGAATACACCTTGGGGAAAGAAAAGGCAAGTAACCAGGTGTACCCTGCCAACTCTGCCTCCAGGTAAGGGTATGTGCTGGGAACAACAGGAAAAATCCTTCCCTCTGAAATGCTCTCAGCATGATGTCCTGGCTAAGGATCCTCTACTTCTAACTGCATCTGTATGGCCTGGCAATCTGCAAAGAATAGAACTTTCTGGGGTATAAAAAGAAGATAAGTTTCAGAACTTAAACATTCACTGCAGGATGTGGACCCCTGCAGGCCTTTACTCATCTTTCTTACCTTATCTGTTCTGGCCAGAGGCGCTTGTCTGACACGGGGAGCCGCTCTTGGTGTTCAATTCTCGCCCTGCTTGGTCTGAGGCATTTCATTGCCTGTATCCTTAAAATTATTACCAGTTTACTATTGAGTACTGTCTCTGATTCATGTGGGTCTGATTTGGCAGTCCAATTCAGTGTATTAACTAATAGAGTGTTAGATAAGTTGGATTCCACTAAACAGATGCTCTTTTATGAGACTTGAATTTGGAATTCAGATAAATTGAGAGAGGGGCAGAGCTTTGACAACATCCATTCACCACTGCGAATAATACGAGCAAAGTGTGTGTATGTGTGTGCGTGGTAGGGGCATAAATCATGGATGCATTTCATAAGAGGCACAATAAAATTAGAGCAAGAAGAGAAAATAACATTAAGAAGGGGATGTAAAGTTTGCCTGAAGTCTAACTTTTTCTGAGACACAGCCAGCAATTATTGTTTTTCATTACTTTAAATGAAATTCTATGATATACTTGAATTGTTTCAATGACAAAGATTCATACTTTAGAATCACCTGATTCCTCTTTTGATTGCTGTAATTATTAAACAGTTATATTGATATAAATCTGTCTCCAAACAGATTCCATCCTTCAGCCCACTCCTTGATGCTACTTTTGTTTCGATGTAGGGTGTTTTAAGACAGCCATCAAATCCATCTGTGCCCGCTGGTCTCTTGGGTTTTGTTTTTTCAAGTTTGTCTGTCATTCTTCATGACATTGTTTGAAGTCCATTTTCCATCCTGAGCGCTCTTCTCTGAATGTGTTCACTGTAATGTAGGCTCCTCTTTTGAAAATAGATCCAGGTTTTTCTGCAACAATACCATTACCAACAGTAGAAATGGAAGTGAAGGGAATAAACAAGAGAGACAGAGGAAAAGCCTATAGATTAAAACAGAGTTTTAAAAATCTAACACATAACAAAGCACACACATTATTTGAATACTGATTCAAACAGATGAGCTGCAAAAGTTAATTTATGTGAGTTATGAGTTATCTGAAAATTTGATGATTGAAGGAATTATTAACTATAGGTATGATTTTGATATCAGGATTATGTTTTAAAACATAATTATATTTTGGAAATGCCTTCTGAAAAATTTATGGATGAAACATGATGATGTCTGGGATTTGTTTCAAAGTATTTCATGGTGGTGTGTGCAGGAGTTATATTCACATAGTCGAGATAGCCATGAGCAGATATTTGGTGAAGCTGCATGAGAAATACATGGATACTTAGTTAATATTCAGGTAACTTTTGTCAATATTTGAAATTCACCATTCCGAAAAGCATCATTCAGAAGTTTGGGATTAAATTAAGTTTCATAAGAACCGTTTTCTTGAGTCAATTTTATTATTATTAGCCATGCCTTACTTCAAGAAACCATCCCATGAACGTATGTGTGTGTAATTAGCCAGCCAAGAGAGTGAACAGACAAATAGAGAAGCAAAAAAGTAATCACTACCCGCAGGATGTGCTATTGATGATGAGTCATGGAATTCAGAAGTTAATTTATTTACACAATAATACATTACAAACATCTCTTTTAAAAATTAATCTAAAAAATGGCAATTAGAGTGACTCTATTTTACTAGTTCTTTGCTATTTGCAAAGAAAAATAGATTCTTCAGCTTAAACTTAGGATCTTACAGAGAAAGTGGGAAAGAAGGAGAGAAATATATGACTTGATATACTCATCTTTTAAGAAGTCAGATTTTATGTAAATGCTCTTACAAGTATGATCACCAGGGCTATTTCTTAAATCAACACATTTTATGGTATGAAATGTGGTCTGTTGTACCCTGTGAAAGCTGCTTTCATTTGGCTCTGAGTAAAAGGACTCTGGAGGGTAACAATTATGAAAATAAAAAGCCCATATTATTTCATTTATCTTTTTAGTTCTAGGTCACTTTTCCAAGAACAAAAACATAGTATCGCTTAAATACTCCTGCAGATGACGGTCAGACCATTCAGTGGCCGCAAGTACTATTTTCTGCAAAATACCCAAGTCAATACAAAGAACATGTATTCATTCTTTTCAGGTTATACGGTTTTCTCAAGTGGCTTTCTTCATTACAAGGAAAAATACACACAGACACACACAGAGTCCTAAAATTTACTAAGTCTGTAAAAAATGTAGAAAAGATTTATTGTCTGCTTTCTGAGCCACTAACCAGAAATATATGTCTTTATTGTAATTTCACCCCCAGTTGAAATATGTCAATTATTTTGAAAAATGTTTCTAATACCTATATTCCTCTGAAATGCATGTAAAGATAACTATATACAACTTAAGAATTGGACAAATGGACTCATAAATACGATATTCACAGTCTTACCAAGATTTTTAGTGTCAAGTGACTTCCTCATTTTCTTGTTTAAATAACAAATTCACTTCAGTATTTTCAATATTAATTACTTTATATTTTCTCAGAAAGAATCAGATACAGGCAAATGCTAAATTTAGGAATATTATAGACAATAGCACTCTAAAAATGTAATGTTATTTCAAGTGATAAAATTTTTCAATAGACTTTTAAGTAACTAATATAATTTTTCAATAATTTATGCCATAAAAACATTTTATCAGTGTGTGTATATGTATATATATATAAAACTTGTATTTATCAGTGTATATATATAACAATTATTCATATATTAAAGAGCAAGCATCATTTAAAGCATCTGGTATATCACAGAAGCAGAGAAGAGTTATTTTTCAGTGGTTGGATGTGTAGTCAATACATTACAAGATTTAGGTTGATAAAACCTTTTATATGCTAAAAGCTGAGTGTGCCTGCTTGTGCCTAATAGTTTATTGTAGCTTGAGCTTATACATTTTCAAAGGAAAAATGGATTTTGTTACTCTACATCTACAGGCAAAAATTTCAGCCAAGTATAATCACAGGGATCAAGGAAAAAAATCCAGTCAAGTCTGTCCCTGAGCTATCTGTAACAATTCTCATGGAAGGACTCAAATGATTTTGAATGGTTTTTGTAAATGCATAATATCTCACCATATTTAAATGTGTTTAAATCTGTATACTGTAACATAGATTTAACTTGAAAAGGAAAACAGTAAATTTCTATTACTTTATTTTAAATATTATATGTAATGGAGTATCATATGTATGGAAGCCAGTTTTACTTCTTGGCACTTTTCAACTACTTTTAAATATTATACCTTACAAATTCATGGTTTTTAAAAGTTTAGAGTTTTTAACATGTATTATCTAGTTTAATCCTAGATGGGAACCTTGTATGTTTATCTGCAATAATTTGACTTAAAGGAAAGAAAGCCTCACATAACCTACTTATTTATTATCATGAATCATGGAATCCAATTGCAAGAATGTCAGTGAGATCACTGGTCATC